GCCGGAAAAATTCCACCGTTTAAGCTTACTTGTATAGCCATCATAATAAGCTTTGGTGGTGCATTTCATTTTGGCTATCAAATTGTGGTCACAAATCCGTCACAAAATGCTTTCCTCAACTTCTACAATAGATCTCATGTTGCTCACTACGGATGGATAATGACACCTAATACTATGAAGGTTTACTACTGTGACTTTTTGTTGTTTCTAAAGCTTTCTTTATTGTTTCAACAACGTTCAGATTATCAAAAATTTGTCATCAATGTTTCTTTTAGGGTACCTGGTCTATTATTATTGCGAGTTTACCATATGGAGCAATTATTGGTTCATTTGCAATCAGCCCCATCAGTACAAAGATTGGAAGAAAGAAAGGCCTTTATGTAGCACTTATAACAAGCATTGTTGCCATTCTGCTAGCCATAATTTCATTTCATGTAAGTGTCTTCCCAGATATTGTAAAAGTAAATTGGTCAAATTTTTATCCAAGTTAATTGTTCTCAAGTAAAGTTAGCTAAATTTTTTTTAGGTTTTGTCTTATGAACTTTATATTGTGTCTCGAATTATTATAGGATTTTCAATTAGTCTTAGTCTTGGATTAACAGCAATGCTACTAAATGAAAGCAGGTTTATTAACTTCTATTATCGCCTAAAAATACAGCTTATAAAAGTTAATTTTTACGTACGAAACAATAATTGAGTTCAAATTAATTGTCATGATTTGACACCAAATTAGGTATACATAAAATAAAACACCACAAAATTTTTAGTCCTCAACAATGCCGTGGTTTTATCAGTATGATTACTGGGACAATAGCACAAGGAGGAACACTTATTTGTTCAGTCCTTGCAATGCCTAAAGTACTTGGAAACGACGACAGTTGGTGGTATTTGTATCTAATTGAAATTATCATCCTTGTTCTTGTATTTATCATTCTGCCATTCATTCCTGAAAGTCCAGCGTTAGTCATTTGTTCTTCCTGTTGATTAACACAGTAGTTTTATCTTGAAAATCGTAGTAGAATTGTCAGAAAGTATAACAATTAGCAAATTGTAAGTTTAATCTAGCTAAAGTGCTAGCTAATGACATTCTGTGGTAGACAAATAACTGGTTATGATTACCAAACAATTTAGATTTTTACTCTTACGTGGAGAGGAAGAACAGGCTAGAAAGTCAATAATATTTTATCACGGCTGCAAGATTGGAGCTATAGATCAAACTTTGAGAGGAATTAAAGATACAATAACTTCAGCTGCTAAAGCTGCATCAATAAAGGAGGTTTTTAAAGACAAGCATTTACGAAAGGGTACTCTTCTTGGTGTTGTTATATCGTTTACAACTTGCTTTAGCGGTACAACAGGTTGGTAAAATAAAAAAAAATTTCATCCTAAAAGTATTTAGACTAAAATTTATTGTATAGTTATCAGTTACTGGCTAAATTAGTACATCAGATTGTTTTAGCCATTTATTCTTTTGCTGTGGATATGCTGAGAAATACAGGGCTGACGCTAGAGGAGGCTGCCTACGGTAACATCGGTTTGTGCGCAGTTAGTACGGTAAACCAAAATTAGCGCGATTAATCGCAACATTTTTTTTATTTAAACAACATAACTTTCTTAATTAGACTCATTTAGAACAACAACAACAACAACAAAACACTAAGATTTAATAAGTTTTAAAAAATATGTTTTGTACACTAGATAGACATCAAAAATTGCCTGTTTAGTAAACATATTTATTCAACTGTTACTATTTTATCAGTTTTGCAATGATATACGTCGAGAAAAAAAACACTGTTTATTATTTAAAAGTGCAGAAAAGACATTAAAAACTGATAATAGTTATAACTCATATTATAATACTAAACATAAATGTTTTAAGGTTGCTTCTGCGGCTGCATCTTTTATAATTGACCGTTTCGGAAGAAGGCCACTACTTGTTGTAACCAATGGATTAATCGTTTTTTTGAACATTGTTGTATTTGCACTAATGTATTGTTTTGAAAAATATCGGGTACATATTTTGCACGCTTTCTTTACAATTAATTTCAGTTTTACTCACTGTCTGAAACGTTTAGGCAATGTAGCTAACAGTACATATAAGCTGACCAGTGCTGGAAAGAAAGGCACTTCATAGCCTATTCTTATGAAAAAGAAAAGAAAAATTTTTGCGACCAAAAAAAAAAAGTAAAACTAAGTTTTTCGTATTTTTAGCTAAATTGGATTGGATATTTATTAGTGGTAATAATTGCAATATTCCTTTTTGTATTCTCAATCGGGTTTGGTTCCTTGTGCTTCTTTATAGCATCTGAGTTAGTAAGTCCTTCAGCAAGAGCCGTTGCTCAAATGTTGGCATCGTTGGTACTAATGGTGTGGTAAGTTGATGTACACTATTAACTCTGACAGTTAAAGCAATAAGTCGAAAAACAAAAAAAAAAGGGATAATATTTTTGAATTGAAATAGTTTTGAAATGCTTTTTAAAATGTAGTAAAAAAATTAATGTTAAATGAGTAAACTAGATGCTGTTATCAATTTAAAACTGATTTCAGTCGAGCGTTCTTACTCTCAATTTATATGTTCATAGTGGGAGCTATTGGACAGCCTTTTTCTTACCTTATTCTGTTTATCTTACCAGTGTTCTTCCCTCTTCTATACTTATATTTCAATCTTCCAGAAACCAAAAACAAAAATTACAAAGAAGTAAGTTTCTTGGCTAAAACTTTTTTTGTTGTTTAAAAATTGTTTAACTTTTCTACATCTTATCGCAGGAGAGCGTATGATCTCTGAAAGTATCCGAATATTCTAAGTTTTTAAAGTGACACTGACGGTTCCGAGCAGTTGTAATTCAATAAGTTTTCAGGTCATAGAAGCATCAAAGAAGCTGCCCTCATTTTCATCTTTGATTTCGAAAACTAAGCAAAGGATAAGAAATTTGCCAGGAACTGTTGATCAAACAGATAAGATTTCGTGCAAGGTCCAGAGACTTTAATGGGAGACCTAATATAAATTTTAAACATCGTATAAATTGGCAGCTTAAAGTTCGGCTTAAAAATGACGAATCACTGAGGGTATTAAAATGTTCACCTTAGTGCATTAGTAACTTTACAAGTGAAGCTTAGCGAGACAAAAAGCAGGTGTTATAATTCGACTAAATAAAATTACTGTCAAGAAAACCTTTGGATTGTTTAATTTAAATTGCTAAATATTGCATGAATTTCTTCGATATGCATAAAGAATATACTTATTTATTAACACCTAATTTTTAGTCATTTTTAAAATTCATGAGATTGTCTAATATGGATATTTGCTGTGTACTAGAAATAGCCACTATACGAATGTAAAGATGACTGTAATTATAAATGTGCTCTCAGTAGAAACAGTTTTTTCCTTATCTATTTTGCCTTATAAATGATACAAAGATAGGATTTAGAAGTATTATAGTATATTTTTTAAGCAAATGCAATTCGCTCAAACTTGAGCTTACAACTTCTAAAACAATAAAATGTTACCACAAAATTGGGGTTTTCGAGTGCTAAAGATCCGTAAATATTTTAAACGATAAATTTTTTGTCTAATAAGACGCTTATTAGAATGTATCCAGGCATAAAACTTTTTAAGAAGTTTATTTTTACCATCAATTTTGGGCCTTCCAGTTACAGTTATTAAAATGAAAAATTCTCAAATTTTCATTGCCAATTTCAACATAAAATAGCATCAGAAAGTTTATTTGAAAACAAAACTTTTGCGAAACCTACACGGTAATGCAGACGTGTTGTGAAACATTAACAGTGTGAAGTTCAAGACACATTAACTTCAGAAATGCTGTTATGTTTTCATAATGACTATAAGAACTTAATTACACAAATAAGTTGTGAAACTGTAAAAAATTTTCATCAAAAACGAAAGCACATTTGCGTAACGCAGAAATGAATGGCTGGGCTACTTAATTAGGTGAGGAACAACGTCTGACTTTGATACAGAATCTAACTGTGTAAAATAATTTACATATATTTCCTATCAAGTCCAGTAACAGATTACTAGAGTGAACTGTTAAACACGCTTTTGTCGCAGTGTTATATAGGGAAGACCAAATTTGGTACTGCATGGAAAATAACGAATCACTGCATGAAAATTGTGCATATCCTGACGTCGATAGATGTCCAGCAATGAAAACATGACAAAAACTCGGTAAGCAGCAATGCTGCTCAGCAGATGAAAAACAGCGTGCATATATGGAGTACCTGGAAATAAAACGGTCATTCAGTCTCATCAAAGCGACTGTTCTACGAAAAGATAACATATTGTTCAGTCGTTTGAAGTACGCTCAATTAAACTGATTCTTTGTCCTAATACGAATCTGAACAGTAAATCTCACTGCTTCATTAAAAATCGTATTTTTATCAGCTTCACTAATTGATTGCAACCTCTGAGCAATCTTAAATCGACAAATAATTTTTTACCAGTGTTATCCTGAATTACTCTGCGTTCATATTCAACTGTAGCAAGCAAATGACAAGTTAAAAAAACCAAATGAAACAAGAGTAAGTAAGCATTTACTTTACCGCTAAATGTGTGGTACGATTGCCATTTTTAAATGTAGGTTTTACTTGACCAGCGTTAAGCGTGGCCAAAAAAATAAGGCTAAAAACCAAGTAGAATTATCAAACTTTGAGCACAGATCGAACTGTAAAGCTTTTTTCACTCAAATAACCCCATGACTGAGCTCTAACATTAACAATATTTTTATTTTCAAGAGCAGATTTCAGAGAAAAACTGTGGTTCTAGCCAATCTAAAATGTTATTTCCTATTATTTCTCAGTTGTCCTGTAAAACATAAAAGATAAAGGCAAAGCAATGCAAAGGTTTCAGATTACAGTAACATTTTTGAAAAAGTATAAAAGATTAGATACCTAGATAAAGCCAAAAGTCACATAATAAACGGTCAGAAAACCAGCATATACTGGCGGTGATCCATAATAAAAATATAACTGAAGGCGATTTCTCGCAAAATACTATTCCTGACCTGTAACCAAACAAATCCGATAAAGAATGACCTTAGTCTGAGATAAAATTTTTTTTCCTGTTTGTAGAATAATGACAAAAGTTGAAAACACTCACTTAACACCTTCATTGTAGATTACTGCAATACCCGGTATTGAATATAACATCAGTGCAAATGCGTTCAACGATGGTTTTATGAAACAAAGTGCACTGACTATCGTTGTTGTTACCAAAATCACCCAACGAAGCCCAACTCTGCAAATTAACATATTCAAATAATCCTTTAATTATAATTTCAAATCATCGAAATAATTTTTTCCAGCCTTTCTTTCTTCTTCTCTAAGAAGAAGAAAAGAATTAACAAAGTTAAAGTTTTTTTAATTTAATAATAGTGATTAGAAAGCGAACTACAGCTTCAAAATTCCAAAAATAATATCAAGGTAGATACATGTGCTCCTTGAGTTTTTGTGGATACCACTTCATAACCGGTAAGTATGTAATTAAACAAACATTTACCAACCATAAAATACTCAATTCATCAACCAGCTGGCCTGAAAAACTATGTTTCAGTTAAAAATGCTTGAAATAGTAAACCAATTTTTGTTAGGTAAGATACCAAACAAGTTTAGTGTAGCATGATAATATGTTGATGCAATTCCGTTAATGGTTAGCAGCAGATGCGGTAAAAGAACAATCCAGTTGACAGTACTGATATACGGCTTTAATAAAAATACGTTGACCATTGGCAGTACAATAAGTGGGAGATTAGTAACCTAAAAAAACAAAAGATATTTGAACTAATCTGTTAAAGATGAAACAGCTTCCGACTGTCTTTTTTTAATGACTATTTTTTCTGTTTTTTTTTTAAATGTCATGTAGTTTTTCTTTTTTTTTTTTTTCAATGTTAAACCCTTTAAAAACAAATTAGTAAGAGCAATAGTAACTGGTAGTTTCTAAAACAATTTTTGAGCCAAAAATAAGTTAATAACCAACACTGTTAGCGAATTCGGCTACAAAATGTAACTGCTGATATTTGTAGGCGCTTTCGCACCACGGTTGACCACTCTCATAAGCCAACCATCGATCCATTTTGGATAAAACCTTCTGACAGCACTACTTCGCTAAGCAAACTGTTAATCTAAAAATAAATTATATTTATTAGGCATAAAAAATTTATCAAAAAATGAATAAAATCAATACTGCAAAGTATTTTTAAAATAAAAACCGACACGATCCGAATTCATAAAAAAAAAAAA